CAGTCTAGAAAGAGAAGCATCAGAAAGAGACAATGCCACAGCTGCTGTTTAGTTTCATTTATTAAAGATTACCAGTTCATGCCAGTATACACATGTTGAGTGATGTCCTGCCACATTTATCAAGATTATCTTTGTTATTTCAGGTAACTACCTATACATGTGTGCATAATAAATATTGTTTTTAAATAAAATATGCTATTGTCTGCTGTAACTGACTTCTGTTTTTTCTAATTAATCCATTCTGTTTTCAATTGCAGAAGCAGAGCATTGATGTAACCTTACTAGAGACTGTTGTTAGTAGCACCATAATCACAATCAACCAGCTACTGACTAATGAAGGTCAACATACACAGAATATAGACCAATATATTGAAGAATACTTATCAGCACATGACATTGTTGTTTCTCAACATAAAAAAGATAAATTCAAGTCAGAGGTGAGTATATAGACCAGTACCACACTATATTAAGCCCCCCCCCCAAAAAAAAAAACACTTAGCCAAAAACTGAATATTTTAAAATACATAATTTTTTTTTTTTAAATTATCTTCTACAGGTTTACAGTAAATACACAGCAGGAGTATGTACCAACTTGGAGGATAGATTTCCTGATATTTCCCTGATCTCTGCATTCAGTATATTTGACCCAAGCACAGTAAATGGTGTTGGTAATGAAGAGAAAGTTGAGGTAATTAAAGTAATTTTTTTTTTCATTCTAGTTGATGTTATTGTCATTCTAGTTGATGATGTTCATGGATCCACACCAATGATTACATTTTACATGTTTTATTTATCACCTTTATCCACAGACATTAGCAGAACATTATAATTTAGATGCAGAACAAACATCAAGGGAGTATGACCTAATAAAAGTTGCAATGGAGAATACTTACCATGACAAATCATATCAAGATATGATGAAAATTATAATTACAAGTTATAAAGACCTGACACCAAATCTGTATAAACTTGCTGCTATTGCTTTGACAATACCTGTTTCAACTGCTGGTAAGTTATTGTTTTCTTGTTTTAATTATGTGAATTGTCTCTGTAAATTTACTAGTGAATTTGTCTGGATTTTAAGCAATGTATTCTTTATTTCACTTATTCCAGATTGTGAACGAGGTTTTTCTGTAGTTTCAAGAATCAAAACAAAGCTGCGCAACCGCCTGTCAGAGAAGATCATCAAGATTCTTCTGTTCATTAGTACTGAAGGACCTGATATCCAGGATTTTAATTTCTCAGCTGCAGCTGCAAACTGGGCCAGTGCAAAAGAAAGAAGAATACATATATGAGCTATTAATTTATTCATTAAAAGTAAAGAATGTAATAATAACTTAATTTGTAAATAAAGTATTATTGTGATCAGTACTTAAATATGTCCTTTATTGTATGTGTGTGAAATCTGAATAAATACAACCTATAAGTTACCAATAACCCCATCATAATATATGTACTGTTACCTAAATGATATGCAAATTAGTATGTAAATTAATATGCAAATTTTATGCAAATTAGCCGCTATCCTTGAACTTGGTTCTGGGGAGAACACTGGTCATCTGCATAAAGTAGGCTACTTATTGATGACTTTCCAATTTTAACAGGCTGACATGTCTCATCCAATTTATCTGCGAAATCATTTAAGAAAAGATTGAACAATATGGGGCTAATGTTACAACCTTGTCTGACACCTCTGAGTGATTTAAACTGATTGGTAATACCATTATTTAGTTTTATGTCATAGTTGACATCTTCATACATATTTTTAATTACATTATATAATTTACCATTGATATTGTTTTTTAGCATTTTATAATAAAGCCCTTTACGCCATACACTATGAAAGGCTTATTTAAGATCTACAAAACCAACAAATAGTTTACTACCCTTTTTTTTTATTCTCAGTATTGTTGATATATTTGTCAATGGCAGTTTTAAGAATAAACATGTTATCAGTTGTTCTGTACCCAGGCCTAAATCCAGTTTGACAAGGGCTCAGAATATTGTTTGCCTCCACATATTTATGTAAACGTTTGTTTAGTACAGATGTAAATAATTTTGCTAAACAGCTCAAAAGAGCTATCCTTCTATAATTATTTGGGTTATTTTTATCACCCGATTTAAAAATAGGCTTAATGGTACTAGTACGCCAACTATCCGGAAACTTGTTTGCATTAAAAATATCATTGAACAATTTTTTAATTGGCTCTAACAGAACTGATTGACCATAAATAATCATTTCATTTATGATTCTATCTTTACCAGCGGATTTTTTCTTTTTAAGCTGTTTAATAGCCTTAATAATTTCATCTGAACTAATATTAATGTTAGTTTCATTATTTTTCAACCCATTTATTTCTGTATCTATTTTGATTTGAGAAATGATTCACCCATTCTTCTACACAAATACTATTACTGATATCACTATTGGAGGGTAATGCACTATTAGTTTTTAACTCCTTGATTGTATTCCAAAATTCCTCAAGATCATTTTTCTCAACTTCTATAATTTTATTTATAAGTTCCTCTTTATAATCCCTTTTTTTGTGTTTAACCAATTTTTTATAATCTTTCTTCAACTGGAAATATCTATTTCTAACATAGGGTTCTCTGGGGTACTTAGTTAGAAGCTTACCCATACCAATAATCTCACGTCTTAAAATATAACATGACTTGTCTGACCTTTTTTTAATTTTCTTCATATTTTTCTTATCATTGGGACCCGTTTTTAATGATAGGTCAGCTGCACTGTAAATAATCTCATTCAACCCCAAGACAGCATCATCAATATCACCCGTCATGTAATTCATGTGCAAGTATTGGGTTAATTTTGAGCTGATAGATGGATTTTGTAGAGTCCCACATATATTAGTCTTGAAATGGTTTTAACCCTGTGTTTAAATCAACATTATTGATTTTATCCTTCACTGTCAGTGAAAATGACAATGGACAGTGATCAGACAAATGGGTCATTGAATGCACTCTCAGGTACTGGATTTTAGGAAACAGGTTTATTTGTGCGATTACATAATCAACCAGACTGGAGCCATTGTATGCATGGCAAGTTAAATTCCCATATAAATCTCCTATTTTTCTTCCATTCACTATTTTCATATCGGTTGACAAACAAAGATCAATAAGCTTTTTACCATATGAATTAGTTGTGTTATCCTTATTGAGTCTTTTTCCAAAGTGATACATTTTATAAATATTTGGAAGTGGAATATGGTCAATAGTGTCATCTGATATATAATCATCTAGTTTTACTGATCGTGCATTCAAGTCTCCCATTATAATTACATCCCCATCAATAGAATTGTTAATGATCTCTTTTTCAATGTCTTCAATTCACAATTCCTGAACACATGATTGGTAAAATGGGAAAAAAAGTGGAATTGTTAGAAAAAAAGAAACTCTACTACTAACATGGCTGTATTGACAGTATTATACACCATTTTATAGAATTTATAACATTTTTTTCAAAAAGTTAATTAATGTATAAACTAACTGACCATCTTTATTCTCTTCATAGCCATATCGGTATCTGTTTTTACTGTTGAACTGTCGGCCATCAGTGTTCTCTTCATTGACATACTGTGTTCTGTAGTTGAGTTGTCATCTGTCATTGTTTTCTTCAGTGTTGTATCTACCTCTTCTGTTGAAATGTTGTCGTCTGTTGCCATTATCTTCAGTGTTGTATCTGTTTCTGCTGTTGAATGGTCTGTTCTCACTTACTCCATTGTGTCTACTTCTGTTATTTGGTCTGCGCTGGAAATGTTTGAGTTGATTCTCTCTATGGTATTCACTGTTGTGACTTTGCTCTTCTTTCTTTGATGCCATTGATCGTTCATGTCTGCAACCAGAAGTTTTACACCATCTTTCTCAATGTGGATACCATCCTTGGCAAATAATTGTCTACTTTCTGATAATTTTCTGTGTGCTATAAACACAAGTGACTCATCCTTATTACAGTATTCTTTGATGTTATCATTAATATATTTAATATCATCATCGACTGTATCATCTCCTCTGTGCAGTATGGATGATATTCCGATTTTAGCAGCTGGAAATTTGGTTTTTGAAGTCGTTGCCATCTTCTTGAGTGAATTAATGATAGAGTCCCTGTCTTGGTTTATTAAATCATTAGTTCCCACATGACAGATCAATGATGTTACCTTAGAGACGACGTCAAAAGATTGATGTCAGATAAAAAACATAATTCCTTTAGTTTTTTTCAAAAACCCCCCACCCCCCACTGAAACTTAATTGATAAATATTGGTCATGGAGTCAGACTACATTCACCATTAAATACAAATTGATAATCGGACAGTAGTATTGCATAGCAGTTGGTTGTTGGGTGGGTGTAAAAAGACTTTACAAATGCACCTCATTTGACGCACATATTTAAACTCAGACCAAACCATTTTCTCGTCTTGGATGTTTGTTTTTGTAGGATGAAAACTTTTTGAGGTCAAAACCCCCCACCCCAAACTAAAGCAAATAAGTTTTTTATCCGACATGGATCTTTTCATGTCGTCCCTTAGTATTGTCAAGTGGCACATTTTCCAATTTCTCATTAGCTGCTTTCACTGTGTAGGTGGTATACTTGATACCTGTTTTTGGTCTATACATTTTGTCAATGTTAACATTTTTTATAATGGAGTCACCAATCAAAACACTCTGTATTTGTGGTGTAATTTCTTGTGGTGCCATAGAGACATCTACCTTCTTTTCCGCTACTGGAGTTGATTTTGTTGTTGGTGCTATTTTGATAATCTCATTCGGTAGTTCTTCATTTCCATCATCACTGACATTTTTTAGCACTTGACAACTGTTGTTGAGTTGAATGTCTTGTGATTTCTCTTCAGGATTATTGTTGGCCTTTACTGGATTGTGGGGA